CATCTTGAGATATCCATGCAAGAGAAAAACCAGACATACAAAGAATATTCCTGATATCAGACACCCATAAACAATATTTACCCTTTTCATCCAAGGCTTTTAACATATTATAACAATGAAGAGGAAATCTATTTGAATAGCTTTATCCAATATTTAACTGCCCGTAGCTGGGATGAAACAAAAAGACTGGTACGACCAGTTTCTCCTAGAATGGCTTTGTTAGAGGCATATTTACCGACACCTAAAAAACGTTTAAAGTACATGGCATGAATTTTTCTATGCAATCACTATAATGACATCCCCATATTTCTGAACCATACAGAAGAATTGGTGCTATTTTTCTGTCAAAAATGTCCGAAACAACTCGGAAAGATATAAATTTGTTTTCTTTAAAAACTCTATAGACAGGAATCAAGGCTTTAGATGCTTGCAGAGCCAACTGCTTACAAGCTGTTGACCATGCTAATCGATAAGATACAGTCAATCCTAAATATTTATAATGAAACAATATTGACTGTCTTATTACAATACGTCCATTTTTCAAATTTATTTAAAATACCACCTTTTCTGAAAACAATAACATTAGTCTTTTTCAAATTTACTTCAAGTCCCCATTTCTCACAATATAGCTGGAGAACATTTAACTGTTTCTGGAGGCCACTAACTGAAAATGATAATAAAGCAATATCATCAGCAAATAGTAACAGCATTATATCAATTATATCTTGTGACACAAAGACTCCGTAATCACATTCATGATACATTTCAGTTACAAGTTCATTTATGAAAAATATAAATAGGACAGGGCTGAGTACACAGCCCTGTCTTACACCAGCTGAAGTTCTGAAACATTCAGTGATTCCTTTATCTGTCTTGATACATGCCTTAACTGATGAGTACATGCTCTGTAGAACGTTTGACAATTTCCCTGTTAATCCTTTAGTAATTAATAAAAACATCATTTTCTTTCTATCCACATGGTCAAAAGCCTTTTTGAAATCGATAAAGGCAGAATAAAAACGGCCCTTGGGTTTAATAAGATATTTTGTACACAAAGATTGAAGAATAAATATATTGTCTGATGGAGAATAGTTGGGTCTAAATCCAGCTTGGGATTCTGATAACATGTCATTCACATCTAACCATGTTCTAATACGTTTTTCAATTACAACAGAAAACAATTTGCCAGTCACATTTAAGAGAGAAATACCTCAATAGTTGCTTGGATCAGATATGTTTCCAGATTTATGTAGAGAAATAATCATTCCTATATTCCAGGAATCTGGAAAAACACCAGTATCTAGAATTTTATTAAAAAGCTGCCTAAGATAAGGGTTTATGAAATTTGTTATACTTTTCAGATATTCAGGGGGTATACCATCCTCATCGGCTGCTTTACCCACTTTTAACCCATTTAAAGCTTGTTTAATTTCATTTTCAGTAATTTCACCTGATAAGAGCTGGTCAGTAAAAGGCATATAATTACAATGTTGACATGAATTGGAATCTAAAAATTCCTGAACTGATTTATCAAATTCATTTACATCTCTGTTAAAATCTGGATTTAATATATTCTTAAAATATCTAAACCAAGTGTCAGGAGTTATATCACCTTGTCGTGCGTTACTTCCCAAATAGTGCTTTATAGTATTCCAGAACTCTTTACAATCACTCATATTTGCAGCCTCGGTTAATTTCTGACTCATATGTATTTTATACTCATTTTGTTTAGTTTTACACTTCTTTCTGAATTCAGTTTTTGCACATAAATAGTCTTTTAAGTTTGAGTCACTCTTGAATGATCTGAAACGATTTAGTAGCATGTATTTCTTAGATTTAAGTTGACAGCACTCTGCATCAAGCCATAACAGTTGCTCTTCAGAGGTTTTATTTCTAGACCATCTACAGACTGCCCCCGCCTTTTCCCCACAGTAGATCAGTATATCAGCTAATTTCCTAACTGCAGCGTTTATGTCAGTTTGCAAAACAGAAATAAAATCGTCAAACATTCGGCTACTTTCTCTGCTAAAAACATATTCTTGATATGCTGGTATTCTGTCTATAGGATGCCTATATTTAGGAACAGGAGTGAGGGTAATACTAATAGTGTTCTCTGTAGCTTGCTAACTTTGTAACTCTGACGTGAAGACATGTTCCATACTACATAGAACCGGCAAGTGGTCAGACTCGGTTCTGTTAAGAACCACCAAATCAATAACCCTAGAGAAAACCTCAGATGATACAATAAAATAGTCAACAGTACTACACCCAGTATGGGAAACAAAAGTAAAATCTCCATTTCTATCAGATGTAGATCTTCCATTTACAATATGGATACCTAATATTTTACATAGGTCTAGCAATGATCTACCAAAATTATTGATTTGTGTATCACATGACGCAAGGGGTAAAGAGAAATTATCAGATTTATAGTCTTTATTAATAGGTTAATAGTCAGTCTCATCATTCATGATAAAGTCCTCTTCACTTCCTGTTCTAGCATTGAAATCACCACATAAGATGAATGTACTCCCCTCCCCATAGTCATGGATTATTTGACAGAGCTGCTCTTCCAACCTGTCAATTCCAGTTCCATCTTCATTAACATAGACAGGAGAATAGTCAGGGTGAATATAGATGAATATCAGGAATAATTGCAGAGAAGAGGTTGGGTTTGTCAATCTAAAAAAAAGGGCATTATCCCACTGGCAGTAAACTTGTTTATACTGTGACGATAGATATTTCTTTATGCATACAGCTATGCCACCTGAAAACCGACCTTTATTTGCAGATCTTTTGGCATTACAGACAAATACATCATACTCATTAAATATGTTTTGCAAGATATCTAATGCATCAGTACACATTGTTTCTTAGAAACAGAAGATATTACACTGTTTGCAGAATGTTATGAACTCAGAATACTTAACTTTTGATTTCAAGCCATGGATGTTCCAGATACAAATACCAGTACTGCGGTTAGGATTCTCCAGGGTAAAATTTTAAGTAGCAGATGTGTTTGTCAGCTCCTTTGATATACTGGGATCAGTTTTAGATATACTGTCACTGTTTGTTGTTGTGTCAGGCGGATATGTATTTACCACTGGTAAGGAATCCGAGGATGTGTGGGAGGTAATATTGTGGCATCTCAAGTTGTCAATCACATTAAAGTCAGATTGAATAGAGGAATTCCTGTAAGTACTGAAGTCATGGCTGGAATCCTATTGAGCCTCATGCGACGATTCAGAAAGTCGGTGTATATCTCGGGAGACCCACCCACGTCTTTGACCTATTTGTTTAATATTATGATTTTCTTCATCATAGACAAAAACTTTCCCGTCAATTACAAGTTTGTCATAATTGAGGAAAGCGACCCTGCCTTCGTCTCGTGCTGGCTTCATAAAATCAAACAACTGTGATCTCGTATCACGAACTCTCTGTGTAAAGTCCTCGGACACTCTGAACTCTTTATTTCCTTTAAGGTTTTTTTTGGCAGCATCAAAAACATCACATTTGTCTTTGAAAAAGGCAAACCTTACAATGAGAGGCCTAGACTTTGATTCGGAATGTAACCTATGAGCACGCTCGATGTTCAGTTAAGAGGCATTATCCATATTGAGTGAAGTTTCCATAAAAGCTCTAACACATTGCTCACTCTCCTGCCAAGTCTCTCCCCGTTTATCTGGTAAACCATGAAAAATAAGATAAGACCTTCGAGATTGTGCTTGTGTCTGATCAGTTTTAAATTCTAGTTCGGCAACTCTCTTTCTAAGAGAAACATTTTCCTCCTGTAGAGACACGAGACGCTGATTGCAGTCCTGAGCAAACCTATCAAGCTTGTCGCTCATGCTCATCATCTGTCCCTGCAGCGAGGTGAGCTGTATAGCAAGGTCATTCAGGGTGGTCTGCTGTTGTTCTTCAGATATGCAATGACCAGAAACATTTTGGATTGATAGTCCAGTTTGCATTCTATCAGGAACGGATTTTGGAGGCCCTGGGTTAGATTCGACATCCCCGGCGACGAGCAAGAGTGTCATAGTCAATAGCAAAAATCTCAGCCCGAGACGTGTCCCCTTGGGTATTGTTATACCGGGGTGCATACCATGTGGACGAGTGTGGTGAGGATTGAAACATCCTATTTTAACCCTCCATGCAACAATATCGATACCCATATCCTCTGATACGTTAGAGTGTACAATAAACGGGTATATTCACCACAAAAACGTGTCCAAAACAGTCCCGAAGTCCAGTATCCAGAAAAATTTTCTCAGAGCAGATTCATAACAGCCGCCATACACAAGACCAATGACCATAGCGTAGCTGTATCAGTTCATTATCATCTAATGAATGTAGTATATCTCTTCTCTCATTAAATATTCTTGGATTACGTCTGGCAGCCATTGTGTTTTACATGACTTAAGTCAAATATATAAGATGTAAATCTGGCAAGGTGGGTCTTAATAGTTAAGTCTAAGTCTTTTGTTAGATATGACTTAAGTTTTTCTACTTAACTTAACTCAATAAAACAAGAAAACTTAGTTTTTTGATTGACTTAAGTTTTATTTATGACTTAAGTTGTTTGATACATACGCCCCCAAGTCTTGTATTGGCAGGTTCTGCTATAGTTAAATGTAAAAAGACCCGTGAAGATCTGGGGTAGAATAGGTCTTCAGCAACCCATGCTTGCCGTAAAAAACAACTATGCTTGTTGTAAGAGGCGACTAACGGGATTGGGTGGTCAGGCTCGCTGACTTGGTTGATGCATGTCATCGTATCTCAATTGCGTGGATCGATGCTCTTGATGTGTCATTCACTGGATTGTCTGGTCAAGACTCGATAAGTTACAGACTGTCGTCATATAGCTTTAATATTGCTGAGTGCAGCGTTAAACAACAAACAAATACAAATAATTTGTATCCTCTCCGATACACTGATTCTATGAATGAGTCAAAATATTACATCATGGAAATTGGAACTTTATTGTTTTTTATTTTTTTCAGTGGTGAAGATAAGTGTTTTCATCATGAGCAAGAGAAAAGGTAATATACCCCAGAAAGTTGATGAAGAAAAGCGAAAATGTCTCAGCTGGAACATGATGGATGGTGTTGAAGATCCACATGGTTCAAGTGCTATTTTTGGCGATGGTCAATCGGAAATACTGCCACAACATTCTTTTGAAGATGGCTTGCCTGATATAGCACAAGAAATAACTCTTGGGAATGAGGAGATTTGTGTAAAAGACTCTTTTTCATACACTGAACACCTATTTTATTTCCATTTGGACTACTGTTCCTTTTTTGTCAGCATTATGGACAGATTACACACCAAAGATGGCAACTGGTCATGTGAAATTGGCAGATTTGAGCTTCAAGTGCAACCAGAGCCAAGTTGCTTTTCTCTAATGAAAGGGTTCTTGCCTCAATGTGAAGAATGCTGGTTGTATGTGGCAGATCCTGGTCACAGAAACATGTTGTACTTTGAACTTGATGATAATGATGAGAACTTAAACTCAAATGGACTTGCGAAAAGGAACAAGAAGTACCCTCAGTTCTGGTTTGCAAGTGTGTCATTGCCCACAGTGTGCCTGAAGGCTTTGCAGGTCAAGGCATATCAGGTTTGTTTGTTTGTTTGCTGTTTAAAGCTCTCAACGCTACTGTCGAACCAGTTCGACAGTCTATCACTACCCGTGTTGCTACTGTCGAACCAGTTCGACAGGCGAATAGCATAAGGACACCCACCAACAAAACTCGCCATATCTATTTACCAAGAAGGCTTTGCGTTACATTTAAATTACGTATGGCATGCATAAATGCTCAGCTTGCTCAATATCAAAACTTCCAGTAGTGTATTTACCTCAAAAAGAAAATATCGCGAGTTTAAAAAGTTTCAGCCAAACTTTGCGGCACACAACTACCAGAAACGGCCATTGTTGACATTTTGGCACTTCACGTTGAGCGGCATGCAGTCCGATATTTTCTTTATAATGTTATCATTTTTCACATTCGATCATAATTTATTGTTTGCTGACGAAGGGAAAACACTCAAGTTCCTTAATTTCTAAAAATTAGCAATTTTCGAAGTAATTAATTATAAACAAAAACAATCTGAATCGTAACATCATCGATTGGATGAAACTTGTACGATCATGGCAACGGCAGTAAACAAACAACTCCACATGCATAGTGATCCCATAGACTATTACAATAATTTTGTTACATCTAACCTAATTTTCTAGAATTATTTACACGCATGTATAAATCTGTGTAAAAAATATCATTTTTATAGAGTTTTCAAATGATTTCGTTTGATAAACTTTCGGACACATTGACAAGCCGACAAACGTCGGTGATACGTGGCCTAACTCGCGATTTGTTTAGTTGAACAAAGTCAACAAACATTGCAAATAATGACAAATATTGGATGATACGCAAAATCTGAACTGATATACATTCTAGGTAAATCATTCAATAGCAATATAATGCAGTTTACGGAAAATAATAAAAAAATACTTGCAATTTTAGCTATCATTTCTGAAACCGGAAGCACGTACCGCATGACACATCGAAGCAAAATATGCAAAAGTTGGTAAGCGATCATAAAACAAATTCCGAAATAGATTCAAATTCAAAAGAAAATACATAGTTTACTTTTTTTCGACAACTGTTTACTATTTATTGATCAGGATAGCTGTCATTACTCCTATTTGTTTCATATTTATTTGTGATTGCCGCCGGTGCGTAACATCAAATTTGTAAGTCTAAATCCGAAACCGTAAAGGATTCCATGCTCGATGATTTGAAAATTATTTTCTGAAAACGACGTACTGATATGCCATAATAATAACAACAGAATATTGTTATTGGTCTGTCATTGAAAGAAGGACAATTTAGAATATTAAGGATTGTTTTTAAAACGTTTACTCCCCCTCCCCAATCTTCAGAACGGATGAAAGTAGGTACACACGTTGACTGGATGAATGTAGGGCCTATGTGATTTTGTACCCAAAACAAAATTGTACCCAAAGCACTTGATGATTTTGTACCCTAAAAAAATAAACTAAATCTGTTTGATCATATTTATTTTTACATGTTTATTGCAAACAATGAGCTGAACATTATGGTAAAACATTTCAAGTTCATAATATGACTCACCTAAATGTACCTGGTCCTTGAGTGTAGTCAGTCCACATTGGCACAACTGAAATTGACTGATTGTGATAGGAAAGTAATAAATTCTTGTCACTGGAGAAGAGGCCAGTAAATTGGTAAACCGTAAGGTAATTGTAGATCTAGTGTTTTGACAGAAAAGTGATAATAAATTAACTTTTTTCATACAAAAAGCAATGTGTAAGTTTGAAACTACAAAACTGTAATACAAAAATATTCTGGGCACAAAAGCACATATCTGTTTGGGTACAAGCTCTCAAGACATTTTACGTACAAAAAAGCACATTTCAAATGGATTTCGTAGAACAATGGGATAAAAATAGATATCTAATCAGTGGAATTCCATTTCACATTATAAACAAGTATTTGTTTACGTAACCAAGCTCAGGTAGACAGCTCATGTTTTGTCTTAAAAGTAGAAAAAATTTATGGACACCTCAGAAATGAGGGCTTTTAAAGTTATAATTCTATCTAACTTGTCAGATGGTTTGACGTTGGTCTATCAAAGAAAAATCCTTATGAAATTTAAAAAATAATTTATGACACTAAAAATTTCAAGCACTCATCCTAAGATTATTCAAGGAAAGACAAATGTGTTTTTTTTGTTATTACAAATACTTCTGTTTTTGGCATTTCTTGTTTCATGATGGCAAGGGCACTTTTATACACACCAACTGAGGAACTTGTGACACACCAGCTGATGAAGTTTGATACTGTGATTGCATATACAAGGGAAAAACAGGTTTGCAGCAGTACATGTATGCGAAAATTAACCACATAAGGTGACATAAAGTCAGGGGGTGTGGCTGACAGGACAAAATACATCTGACAAAGGTCATCATGTATACAGGGACATTTCTTTTCATTCCACCCAGAAGGCTGAGACACAAAGAACATAAGGACCTATACTGACTGTATATTCAGAAACCCATCAACATGATCAAGTATGTCAGATCAAAAACTGGTGATGATCTGCATTTATTTTGTATTTTTGTACATTATATTGACTGAAGATGAAAACCTGTTGATCACATTTCACAATGGTTCATGTTCCTTCAGGGGACATGCAAGAGTGTCACTGTCAAGCACACGAGAGCATACTGCAACAAACCTGGAAAGTCCTGCCACACTAATTACACATTATTTCATTGGTGAGAACCCTGAAAAAATACATAAGGTAGGATATTTCCATGTACATTTCTCCAACAGAAACAGAACTGCAAGAATTGTCAATGTATGTATATGTGCCCTATTCCTTTTTCAAAAGATAACATTCTCTTATAAATATATATATGGCTAACTCACCAGCTTAAGTGCCACCCTGGTTCTTGTGATTAAACAAACAAAAACATCATGTTCTGTTACAAGAAATTTATGTATCGTAATCATATTACAATTATATTTAAGAATTAGTTTTTGGAAACAAACAACTTCATACACAAGATTAATGTCCATATGAGTTGTGTATGTATAGGTTCATATAAGGATCTTATCTATTTCTATATTTTTTTATGAAATACTAAACTTAAATAATGACATCAAATAGTTACTTATTCACATAATTTATGTTCAGGTAAAAGATAACAATTGTTGAATAAAATATGTTTAAACTAAAGATAATAATTAAAGTCTGATCAGTTACACTGTGCTGATGCATTGACCTGTTGACCAATATTTAGTATCCATACACATAATCATTGTGGAAAAAATAGATACTAAATATAACTTAATATTTTAGAAGCTGTGAACAGATGTAAATATTTAAACATTAACAAATCTATCATCAATACGCAATCATGGCGGTCTCTATATTGATGGAATAAATTTTAAGATCATCCGTGAATTGTTGTAAAATCATGCTAGAATCGATAAATGTATTATAAAAGGAAAAATTATTTAAATATCCCACATTTGATTAGAAACTGACACTGAAAATATGTATAACGTATTTTTTTTAATATATACATCACCCATCTGCGTATATCCTATCATATTCGGCATCGCCTGAATGCTATTTTGAAACACGTTTTGTCACGCCTATTTTCGCGCACCTGTTGTGGGGTGTGATCGTTGCCGATCGACGATTTCTATGGACTTCACACACATAATTATTATAGTGAAAACAAAGTCATCGGCATGCACATCTCAGATACATGAATCATATCACTTTATATTCAACGTAACATGGAATGGTGATCCTTATATATATCAACAAAAGTTCAAATAAAAGATACCGAGAAACTTGCATGTGGTGTGTTGATTCATGGTCTCTCGTTTCCGGGTCACGGGAGCATGCAAGGTCAAACGGATTAAAAAAAATACGCCAATTATATCGTGAAAATCACTTTGTAATTTCATGTTAGTGGTGATTACTGATAATATGTAGTGATTTGTGTTTGTTCTGTATAATACAGACGAAATATTTCAAAATTACGAAAGCCTATTAGGGCCAAATTCATTGATAACATTTTTTATTTAAAAGTTGTAATTACAAGTTGTAAAGTTGTAATTACAAGTTGTAAAGTTGTAATTACAAGTTGTAAAGGTGTATTTACAAGTTATAAAGGTGTAATTACAAGTTAAAAAGGTGTAATTACGACTTATAAAAAGTTGTAGTTACATGTTTTTAAGGTGTAATTTCAAGTTTAAAAGATGAAAATACAAGTTTTTAAAGGTGTAATAACTAGATTTAAAGGCGTAATTACAAGTTTAGAAATGGAAATAACAAGTTTTGAAAGGTGTAATTACAGGTTTGAAAAGGTGTAATTGGGTGAAAATCTCAACACCGTAACAATTTCCCACTTGACCTGTACATCAGTAGTTTGTTTGCAGAAATGTATTTTAAAATATTTGATTTCCTTTTCAAGACTATTCACAAGTAGATTACCTTTCTTCAAATGTAAAATGCTAAAAAAATGTACTTTCAAGTTAATATTTGTTTGTTTATAAGCAAATATTTTCTGGATTTACTAAAAACATGGCTGTCCCTCAGCTGGACCAGAATAAAAAATAATACCTAATCTATATCTAAATATTCTAAAAATGTAACAAATTTTGTTTTTCACACTCTCAAATGAACATTAATTACATGTATCCTATCATTATTATCTAAAACCTAATTGAAAAAAAAATAAATAAGAAAAAAAAGATGTCCCTCAAAAGGCACTCAACTCCGTTACAACGTACCAATACTAAAAAAATAACTGTGCTATGGGAGATAACTCTCATACGCTTCCTCTTTTGGCAACATGTGTATGAAGTTCATCTGCTGGTGATAGATAGATGCCACATTTATGTACAATGTTCAAGCCAATGACATCAAGATATGTCTGTTAAGTACAGTATGTTTTCTGAGCCTCAACTCTGTTACACTGTCTATAGATCTATATCTCATTCTAATTTCCTTCACTTTTCCAAGAGAAATTGGTTAGCAAGACCATGTTAGCAG